GTGTAGGGTTGGGGAGTCAAAATAGTTCAGCAGCAATGAAGAGAGAAGTATGCAAAGGTTTCAGCTGCCAGCCTGCACACGCTGGGTGTGCATGTACTCGAATGCACGGCTGCATTGCCCCAGGCTGCAGAGGTTTTTGTGTAGAAAAGCCCTTGGTTACTGGAATAATTCTCTGTGGGAATAATTCTGCATCTGGGCAGTGGAATGGGCTATTTACCCTGTGACACAGAGGGACCCCTAGGGCAAAGCCAAATACTAAGTGATTTTTTTGACGAATGTTAATTTTCATCCTGATTTCATGCTGCCTGAACTGTTTTGTCGAATCCTGACTGTTCTCCCCAGCTGTCCATCACCGACTCTCACGTTTTGATGGCGCTTGTCACAGACGGCCTGGTAAAAAGCTCTTGGTTATTTTCTCATTCTCTTTTTTCCCCTTTGAGAAGTGTCATGAACTTTCTGCAGCTGTCCAGACTCTGCTCCCCTGTCCTCCCTGGGCAGCAGTGTGGCAGTGAGAGCTGCCCCCCCCCCTGCCCCCGGGAGGAGGTGTGCTCTGCTGGCTGTTAAAGCATTGACGGTGCTGTGCTCTGTGCTCCTCTCCCAAGCTTCTCGCTTCTCCCTGGGCAATGGATTTTAGTGTCCTGCCATTCCAAGTACAGTAGCATCTGTACAGATACAAAAATGGGTAGTTCATGAAGGCCTGATTCTATAATCTCCTTTGGAAGCTCTATTGCCCCACATTTTCTCTCCCCCCTCTTCTCTGTCAAAGTGCTTCACAGCTGGCCTTCATCCCCAGGCTTTGCCTCGTCCCCTGGCCAGAGTCGAGCTGTTCAGTTCCTGGAGGCCCAGCGGCTGTTGAGGGATCTGAGCTGGGCAGAGACAGCAGGGCTTGGTCTCTAAAGGAAGCAGATGTTGTGGTCTAACTCTGATCTTGCTGAAGCTGCTTTTGTTACCCTTTGAGAAAAGCAAATGCGGGCTGCATCGGAGCTGGTGGTTTGCAGAAGGTACCAAAGAACAGGGGGTTTAGAAGCCAGTGCCTAATCCTGTGGACAATCTTAATGCTGTTTCTTTGATAACATGTCAGAGGTATTTTATTGTGGGTTTTGTGTAAGGTGCTGTAAAGCAATCCCATGCAGCTGGAAGCCAGAGGCAAGACTATTTTGGGGCTTTGAAGATCTCTACTGCTGTGACAGCTGTGTCTCTGCTACAGTGGTTGGCTTTTATTTTGCTTTGGAAAAACTGAACCACAATTTTTGTTCCACTTCCTTTTCCCTGAGGTGGGAGAATTCCTGGAACTCTCCAGAAACAGTTAAAGGGTGTCTTCATCTTTTACTTCCCTGGACTGGGCAGCTCCCAGAAGGCCGGGGTTTGGAAGGCTGGGAGTGCTGAGCCGACCAGTCCAAGAAGACCCCTGACAGCAGGGCTGGGCTGCAGATGTGGTTGCAGGTGCTGCGGGGAGATGCTGGGTGTCTGGGTGGGCTGACCTGGCTGGTTTGGTAGTATTGAGGGCGCTGTACTCTCTCCACCAGCTGCTGATAATGTGTTTTCTGTGGACAGGACTGGTGGCCCATCAGTGTGTGTTTTCAGAGATGAGCCCACAGGAGTCCGTCGCTGGGGCTTGTCTGCAGAGAGCTCTGTGGTACCTTGACAGTGTTTGACATTTCCCAGACAGTGCTTAAACCTGCCAGTTGACGCTATTTAACACTCTCCTCTGTAAGAGCCTTCCAGCGGGGATGCCTCTACACTCTGGCTTTCCCTTCAAGGAACTGTTACCAAAAGCTGCTGTATCTT